TCGAAAAGGAATTTTTACAAAGCTAATGAGGAAATGAGCTCTGGGATTGAAAGGCTCTATCTAAGCATAGAGTAATTGATATCATGCACTTGGTGCTGTAGCTGCCATGAATTGTCCAAGGGCTTTCAGATATCAATACATTCATTTTAACTGACTGGTCTTCAAAAGGAAAAGCAGTTTTGCTTGACATGCGTTGTATACCAGGCGTGAGCGTGTGTGTGAGTGTGTGTGTGTGTGTGTGGGGGGGGGGGGGGAGAGGGGTACTTGTGTTTATCAATGCTAACTACACCATTGTTGCTATTTCATACAAATGCATTAAAAAACAAAATTGGTCCAAGAATTATCATGGGAGTATTTCTCCAGAGTGGACATCGGATCAAAATCACCTCATCTGTAAATCTTGCATAATTTTAAATGACCACAATTACTCCCAAGATCATGTTCAATCTTTGTCATCGATAAAATACAGGGATAATTTTCCCCCAGTGCATAATGCTTCCCATTTGGCAAATGAATTTCATCTTGATGAATTAAACATATCGCAATGAACAAACGTAGGGATAGTGCAATTCACATCAGGAAACGCTTGATGTAAAATTGCTTGCAACATGATAATAATGCAGCTTCACACTTCACATTAATAGCTTCCTTTGCCTCAGAGCAGAGCTAATTTGTTAATAGCTGTACAATCTGCCAGCAAGTGACATACATCTCAAAGACTTCCTTTGCCAGGCTTGCATCCATATTCTCCCCTCATCCAACCCTAGTAGTCAATACATCATTACAAAATAAGATGATGCAAGCTCTCATCTTCAATAAATAATGTATTAAACATCCCTTACATATTCATCAACTAATTAAGGTTTCATCTTATCACAAAGCAAGTGGGTATAAGGGTTCTGGCAACCTCCTCCCAGATGTATTCTCACCCCTCCTATTACATCATACAGTACATCCAGGATTCATAGTAGGCATGAGTATATTCTGTCATCCCCCCCCCCCCCCGTACCGTCAATCCTCCTACCAAATCACACAGCTTGAAAGAGGGCATTTTGATACCCACCTCCCTCATGGAAATACATGTACATCCAAGTGAGCACAAGTGTATATTCTGACAGCCCCCTCCTCAAAACCCTTACCCTCCCCTCTATCAAATCACACAGTACACCCTGACGTTCTCGCTATCAAACATAAACCTTATCAGGGGAGCGGCTCTTCAAACTTCTGTGCGATTTGCAGTCAGCATTCAATATAGATTTTAATTTCCTCTTTGGATAATTCCCCCGAGTCTGCAATGATACAACTCTCATGAGGATAGTCATATTTAGCTGAATAAATCGATCCTATCTATTCCTCTCATCTCATTACTTAAATAAAATGAGAAACTGTTTGGGTTTCCCCCTCAACATTTATCCCTTCAAATGAGAGGATTTCTGTCATTCTCTGTGGTAATGAGGCTTCCTGCAGCCCCTACCTTCTGTTTGATGAGGTTGTAATCTTTAGAATATTGGAGATTTGATGTGTTTCTCAATGTAATCTTGATATTCTGTGAAGGGGGTGATAGTGTTCCATCAATCAAAGATCTAGCGTTCAAATCAACCTGACAGCAACTCAATTGAGAGCATTTTGATTCCATCTCTCTTTATCCATCTCCAGAGATAGCTCTTACCACTTTTAATGGGGTTAACTTTGCAAGATTAATATTGGATTTCTACAGCAAATATATGTGGATATCAATTTTATCAGGATTAGCATAATATTTTTTCGATTAAATGACCTCTGTATAATGAAACAATACATGAATGATTTCAGTGATATGAGAATTAAAGCAGTAATGTAACAAAAGAATGTGGGGGGGGGGGGGGGAGGTTGTGATCAGAGTAGAAAGGTTCAATACTGCTGTGTTTCCTGATTTTTAGATGTCTTTTTTTCCTTCTAATTTTCAAGCATAAACCCTATATTAATTAATACCAGCAGCTTACCAACCTCGCACTGCTCTAAATCAATGGTCTAAAAGTGATGATGACTTACAAGTGACTAGATTCAGAGCAAAATACTGTGAGAGTAAATAGATAGCCATTGTTTGGAACACACCACTCTTTCCTCTTTTACTCTCTCCCATCAATGGAAATTGACATGATACAGAGCAGAGAGGATATTGTCCTCACAAACTAATGACACAAAAGTAGACTCTAGGAGAGAGAAAGAGAGGGAAGGAGGGAGGGGGGGGGGGGGGAGGAAGGGAGAGAGAGAGAAAGAGATAGAAAGAGAGATATATATATATATAGATGGACAGAGACGGAGATGAAGACTGAAACAGACAGACAAAGAGAGGCATGTATAGATAGAGAAAGTAGACAAACACACAAACGAACAGAAAGAGAAATAGAAACAAAGAAGCAGAGAAGGAGAGACAGAGAGAAAGAGAAAAAGACAGAGACAGAAATAGAGACAAACAAAAACCCACACAAAAAGATCCTTTTTAATATTTCTGATGATCCCTATATATTCCTTTTAATTTTTCTCTTCAACAATATAGTACTGTTACTTTTTCCTATCATTTGTAGACATGTCTTTGAAAAAGCCAAGTCTACGATATTCAGTATAATTCATACATTTATACTACAATTGATGATATAATGCACTTACATTGTACAATACATCCTGTTATTTATTCATGGGTGTATGATTTATTTGCTGCACAGTAATTGTTTCCGCCATTTCAAGAAACTGAAAAACAGTCTTAATTGCCTTTGGAAAATTGGATCCCTGTGTAACATCTTTAAAAGCTGTGAATTTACAAAAGATAGAACTAATTGTATGTTGGATTGCTCCATTCTCAAAATATTTGGCAAAAAGCATATTTGTCTATCCTTAAAAAACAAAAGAGGTATTTAGGCGTAATCTTACTTGGCAAGACCTGGGAACTAAGGCTGGTAAATTTGTTCTTCGTCAATCTGGGGAAGGTGAAAGTCATTTTTCAGTCAGCGGGATAGGAGGACAGCAGACATTGATCAGGGACCAAGATAAAGGGTCCCTTCCTTCCTGGATAGCGCAATAATAGCAACCGCAACAAAACGTCGAGTCATCTCGGATCTCTGTCCTCTACATTAATGTTGTTCTCTCGCTGGAATCGCTCGCATATGCAAAGCTGCCCCCCCCCCTCCCCTCACATCACATCCTGATTTTGTAGTTCATCAAAATGTCACCCTATTTCACCCGTGTTTGAGCATCAAAAGCTTCCATATTTACTCTCCTGATATCTCCTTTAACAGAAAAAAAACAAAACGATACATCGCTTACTCAAAAAAGCAGTTCACCAAAATGTCAGCCAACTTCTCCCGTGTTTGGGAGCATCTCCATTCTCTGGGTAACTTCATCAATGCTTTTCTTTAATAGATATATCTTGCCTTCTCCAATCAGCAGTTCATCCAAATGTTACTTGATTGATATCTTATTTGTATTCTTCGTCTTGCCCTATTTCCACTGGAGGGGGTTACAAGCTTGTTTGGGCGAAGACAATAATCTACTGTGCCTACCTTGTACGTCATTGTTTTCCGTAATGACCTGGGGAAATTTGATCTTAAAGCTACCTTTATTTTGTTTTGACATTTGGAAGTAAATGATGCGAAATCAGGGCAAATCAAGATAACAAATACAATGTTAATGTTCTCACAAATTTCTTGAGAACATTCTAATTTTGAGATTGTTAGTAAACAATGCTTGATGCCTCTTTGTCTGTCTTCCTTTCCTTAGGAGATTACAGAAGCTTGTTATTATGCAGCTCCTTAAAAAAACCACAAAGTTATCATTGGTCTCTGTAATCCCAAATAATGTGAGATTTACTTCTTTTAAATATGTTTATAATGTGTAGTTTCAATGGTCATACTTTTTTAAATCTCGGCAGATCAGACTTTTATTTAAATCACTCCTTTAAAATCCAAGATTTAATTTCTTGATCTTAATTTGGAAGAAGTCTCATGATTTCAATCAACGTAATCACTACGTAATCTTAGCAATTATTGATTGTCAGGTAGCTATAATGATAGCTTGCTTGCTTCTGTCTTCCCTCTCCCTCTAACACCCCTTCTCTCTGTCTCTGTCTCTGTCTCTGTCTCTCTCTCTCTCTTTCTTCATTTTTTTTTTTCTCTCTCTCTCTCTGCCATCTCCATCCCTTTCTCTTATTCTTTCTCTCCTTGTTTCAATCCTTAAGTTCTACTCTCAATCCTTGCCCTGGCTTCCCTGAATGGAAACAGTCAGATCAGGGACTGATGAGCTAGAAATAATAGCAGCCCCCCCCCCCCCCCCTCTCTCTCTCTCTCTCTCTTTCTCTGTGTCTTCTAATGCTTCTTCTTGCCAAGGGTCTTTGCCTGAGTATGGCATTACTCTTGAAATGCCACATGGGTGATTACACCCTATAAAAAGGCATGACTGCATACAAGTATAAGCGGCAGAAAACATCCAGAATGACGTCTTTACCACGACATAGACAGCATGTACTTTTCCACTTGTACACAGCGGGCAAATGAACTCTTTAAAAGCATCAATGGTAGTATTTAGAGACATATGTAAGCGGAATGATGAGGACTCCATGTGGAAGTGAAGTGAATGGTGGGTGGCCTTTCTCATTAGGCATCATCTCTAAGTTAGGATCTTTCCTAGACAACAGGTCTTATTGAACAACTCCCTCAAAGGTCACACTCAACAACCTCCAAAACAACATACTGTTATTGCAAGAAGCAAAAACTTCAAATGCTATGTAAATTATTTAAAACAAATTAATACTATACAAAACTTTCTCATCCAAACATAATTTTATTAAAATATAATGGAGGGGGGGGGGGGGTGGATAGGAGTTAGCATATGAAGGTGTTAAATACCAGAAGCTAACAGGGCATGGGGAAATCTGGTGAGGGGAAAAGGAGGCATTGGGGGGGGGGGGTGGGACGAAAGAGAGGTGAAAATAGTGGATGACAGAATAACACAATTTTGTTACAAACCTGAAAGTTGGATATTGAAGGTTTGCTGGTGTGAGGAACGCCGGATGGAATGGATATGAAGAGATTTGAGCCATGGCAGCGGGGTCGTATGCCGCTAGATGGTGGGGTGTGGCTGTCGGGGGTCTGATTGGGTCTTCTCCAGCACGGTACGGCTGAAAGCCCCTCCCAGCCATCTCCTCCGACTTGCTCGGTAATTGGGCTAGTGGTCTGTCAAGGGCAACCAAAGAGAATCATGGATTTAATTTACTCACTTGCCGATTCTTTTGAAATCAACAATACCAGAGCAGGGCTTCACCCTTACATTTTTGGAGGGAGTTCTAAATGACATTTTCACGATCTGTATGCAAGAGCCTTTTTTTAATCTTGATATTTTTGAGGTCTGGGCTTTTTGACGCTCATGTGTCCTCTACACCTCAAATTGTCAAGCCTCTCTGCCCTTTGTCACCCTGCTCCTGAACTTTAGAATAACAAAATGTTGAATTTAAGTTGTTTGAACTTTAGAAATAAGAGGCAATAAGATAAAAAAAAATTGAGCAAAGGGTCGTATCTCTCACCTCCTTGGACCTAGCCCTAGACTTGGGCTCTCTTTTCCTCTCCAGATAGATGAAGCACTCTCTCCTGATAGTGACCTACCAAGGCTACGATCTACTGAGTTGCTTTGACTTCTTCTTTCAAGCTCCTACAGGTAACAAATAAGAAAGAAACCAAATATAAAATCATGCATTGTGGACATCAATAGGGGTTGCTTTCACCCAATGATTCTTATCACTTAAATGCCATGTAAACATATGTATAGTGTACTACAATTTCACATAGAATGTCTTTTTTATTCCTTTTTAATGAATGAATATCCAGAAGATGTTTTTCTTAGCCAATGCAGCAGGGTTTAAAAAAAACATATGTTCCATACTGACTTAATGAATCTTGCCATAACACACATTCCTTAGGATTTTTAATAATTAGAAATCAATAACAATAACCTTTACTTGCTCATTAGCATATCTTGGCTAACCATGAAAAACAGGGCAACTTGGTCAACATGTAGAGTATACCTGTAGCGCTGCACTTTTTATGACAAAGGTAATTCAAATTGACGAAAGCGACCCAAGCAAGATACTGACAAGAATAGAGAACATGCTCACTTGCTTACCCCACTACTACACACATTCAACGCCTGATTCATATATAATACAGCAAACCGTGTAGTTTCTACATGTAAATGAATGGCAACTCTTTCAACAAAGATCCTATGCATACCATTCACTTAGCTCTGTGTTACAAGATAGCAAATGTGAAGGGTATTGCACTTTACATCATTAAAACTAGTGCTGTAACATCACGGATATCTCCAATTCCGTTTAACCGCCTGTCAAAATCATTTTTTTTTTTTTTTTTTTTTTTTTTTTTTTTGGCCGTGTGAAAAAGCAGGAAGGTGATTTAACTGAAGGCGCCGATTTGTGCTTGTGAACTAGTCACAAATAATAGTAACAATGTCGTTTTAGAATAATGTGTAAGATCATTAAAGTAAATTAAAAACAGTAGAGGACCTAGGACAGAACCTTGTGGTACACCATGTGTTAAACTTGGATGAATATATATTGAGATCTATTACAAAGATTACTCTCAAACCAAGATGACAGACAAATTGGAGTGATGTTCTAGTTTCCAAGTGGTAAGTCATCACACCGATTACTGAGCTGGGAGACATTGCCAGGCATAGTGCCAGGTGGAGGGGCATAAATCGAAACTTTAAAAAAAAAAAAAAAAAAAACGGGAAAACGAAACCGTCCAATTGAAAACGGAATCCGCCTTGGGCGGTCGGATACCGGACAGTTAAACGTTTGACTACAGCACTAATTAAAACAACAACCAAAAACGGTACAGCTAACCACTTCTTATCTGAACAAAGCATTACATTTTTAAAAACATTTAGAGCGATGTTTAAAGGGATCGTTTAACAATGTTAAATCTGAGATGCACGACCCTACGTGTTATCAGCGTCTGTGATATGGTGTTATATTGAAGCCAAAAAAAAATTGCGCTTCAAAATGATCATTAGTTGACCTCTGTGACTTTCGACCTTTGACCTAGTTACTCCAAAATCTACTCAGATTGTCTTCCTATGGTTCAAGTTTGAAGTTCATATCTCAAGTGGTTCTTGAGACATTGCACAATAACGATGGATGGACGGGTGGACAACCTGAAAACATAATGCCTCCGGCTCAACCTTTGGTAAACAGAGGCATAATAATTCAATTCAATTCAATTCAATTTTTGAATAATTATAGAAAAAGAGATGCATTTTGTAAAATTGAGTTTACTGAGGCTACCAACAAATTCTCTTCACACCACTTGAAATGGTCAACTAAAAGAAAAATTAATCTTTCTGAAAGTCTCCATAGTAATGAAAAGCAGTTTTAATCTCCACAAATGTGTAGCCTCAAGAGCTTGCAGTACGTTAAATAGTTCAAAGTTTGAATTAGAGATGTACAGATTACGAACAGCTTGGATCAATTTTAATCTCATCAGCCTTTGAGATATAAAAATCTTTTATTAGAAACCAAAGAGTGACCAATGTTACAGATTTATTCCTCAAAAGCGTGATATTGCTTTTTATAGGAATAGATTGAAATATGAATTGATGAGGACAGAATAGGGCCAGCCAAGGGATGATGTCATACGTGTCTCTATGATATTGGTAATTTAGATGACTATTTCCACTTTGACATCTGTGTTGAATAAACGTGAACAATTGTGTCATGTCAACACGGTCGCCAGCATCTCCAGAGATGAGACATCTCATAAAGCGGCAACAACAAGCCAATGATAGGATAGGGCCATGTGAGTCGGTGCAACTCATCATATTTGCTTGCTTTTTAGCTCTCTTCCCCCGATGAATCCTAGTGCGGGGACTCTGCCCAAGAAGCCAGGCATATACCCAAACGGTGTAATCTTAGATGGGACTCAATGTTACGTGGTGCGGGTAGAAGCGAGTAATGGACCATATTGTGATGGAGTATCTTAACACTGACACCCCCCCCCCCCCTTCTTCCTTCTCTAATGAAAGGAAAGGAAAAGTGCAGGTAGAGTGCATTGCAATCCGTCTTACAACTTGCTGCAGTCGTATATAGATGTACGTAAGAGGTTGATGAAGCTTGCATTTATTTGCGGTAGCTAAGGACATGGATAACTTTCAGTAAGCTGGCAGTAGTGATTTATTCAGGGTTTTATAAGTAAGGACGGGGGAGTTCAGCCATGAAGCAAATACTGTCTTTGAAAGCTACATTCAAAATAATTGATTCTGTAATTTTCAACTCTCCAAGGTACCAACAAAATATCATGACAGATTTCCGATTGACTTGGAATATTAAAATGCAGAGGGATTTAGTTCCAATCTTCTACGTTTCTTTGCTAATGACTGTGGCAGGCAGTGGTGTGCTTCACTAACTATGACGCAGTATCAATTTGTATCTGTCTGTATCTGATCACATCACTTGACGGATGAATACTCAACCCAAAAAAATTAAAATCACTCTTATATAGATACTAAAATCATAATCGTTTCTATTTGCAATATTTATGATAATAGATATTGATTAGTCCCACACTATAGATTTGGAGCTGTGTGCTTCCTTTGGTAAACTGTGTATAAATACATCATCATACAGTCTATTAGTTCTTATAGATGAGGAAATAGTATCTATGCTTCTCTCCTTCTCTCTTTGGTTTAACAAAATGGAGACAAGAAATAGAGAGGATAGAAGAAATTCCTGCTGGCATCTTGCTAGGGTCTGTTAGGTGGCTATTAGTGCAGGACTAAAGACTTTTGTTAATCATTTGTGTAATAACTGTGGGCAATCGCGAGGAACTGTTTGAAAAGTGGGTCTATCTAATCAAGCCTCCAAGCAAATTTCCTCTTCCAATAATTCTATCTTGGGGAAGGTTGTAGGTCGTGGGGGGGGGGGGTTTAATCCTCCATTCATGGAGATGAAGTGTAGATGAGGGTAATTTCTATAGAGGAAAATGGACATTTGACATATCATCTGCTTGGAGCCACAAGGGCTTTAACTCATATATTTCCTTAACATACGATAGATATATCAATTTACTCTTCCAAAGGTTAGAGGGATCACTTTTACAAACCATTATTGATTTTTGCGATGTCCTTTAAGTTATATCTAGATCCATTACACATTTTTTTTTTTTACATAAGTGTTGGGTTCTCTTCGTGATATTTCATCTATTAAGAGCCAGAAGGGCATTGACTCCATATAAAACAATGACATAATGGCTTCCTGGCTCCAAACACAGATGATAGATCTTTTATATGACGTCTGTAATAAATGTTAAATTGCACTGAATTGCATTGAATTGCATTGAATTGAATCGAATTGAATTGAATTGACTTGAATATTCCTCTTTACAAGTTGTTTTTAGGAAACCCTTGATGATGAAGCATGAACCTACCCTTCTTGAATCCAAGGTGGAGCTGGTGGTGTGGGTTGGGGCGATGGTAACGACCGGAGGGCTGGAGGTAGGCACCACGAGGGGCGAGGGTCCTAGGTGGTACTTGGACGGGGTCGAGGCAGAGCTACGTGTTGTACTGGCAGGCGAGGTTCTTGGCGAGATTTCATCTGGGCCTGTACATGAAAAGAGAGAATAAGAAAAGAAATGAATAGAGAATATATTTATAGAAAAGAACTTATTAATAGAAAAAGCATGTGTGAGAAGAGAAACTGGCTCGAGCAGCAGTCTCAAAACAAGAAGGTTTCAGGTTCAAAACCTTGTTGGTGCACTTGGGACATATGGTGAAGCAATTTACTGTAAACATATATTGCTTGCATCCTTCGACGTCAGGAAACATAAAATAATAACTGAGTACAAACATCAAAGATGTGTAAGACTTCCGGAAATCACACTAGTAGCCTGTTCAGACTTATGGAAATCACACTAGTAGCCTGTTCAGACTTATGGAAATCACACTAGTAGCCTGTTCAGACTTATGGAAATCACACTAGTAGCCTGTTTAGACTTATGGAAATCACACTAGTAGCCTGTTCAGACTTATGGAAATCACACTACACTATGAACATGACCGACAAAAAAGCGGACAAAATATACAGTTCCTCAGGTAGACAAAGGAACATCCCTTCACTGCTATTATGTAAAAAGGTGAATATGCATGTGACACCTGTTCTACACATTTTTACACAATAGCAATGAAGGGATGTTCCTTTGTCTACCTGAGGAACTGTATATTTTGTCCGCTTTCTTTGTCAGCCATGTTCATAGTGCTAGTAGCCTGTTCAGACTTATGGAAATCACACTAGTAGCCTGTTCAGACTTATGGAAATCACACTAGTAGCCTGTTTAGACTTATGGAAATCACACTGGTAGCCTGTTCAGACTTATGGAAATCACACTAGTAGCCTGTTCAGACTTATGGAAATCACACTAGTAGCCTGTTTAGACTTATATAAATCACACTGGTAGCCTGTTCAGACTTATGGAAATCACACTGGTAGCCTGTTTAGACTTATGGAAATCACACTAGTAGCCTGTTCAGACTTATGGAAATCACACTAGTAGCCTGTTCAGACTTATGGAAATCACACTGGTAGCCTGTTCAGACTTATGGAAATCACACTGGTAGCCTGTTCAGACTTATGGAAATCACACTAGTAGCCTGTTCAGACTTATGGAAATCACACTAGTAGCCTGTTCAGACTTATGGAAATCACACTAGTAGCCTGTTTAGACTTATGGAAATCACACTGGTAGCCTGTTCAGACTTATGGAAATCACACTAGTAGCCTGTTCAGACTTATGGAAATCACACTAGTAGCCTGTTTAGACTTATATAAATCACACTGGTAGCCTGTTCAGACTTATGGAAATCACACTGGTAGCCTGTTTAGACTTATGGAAATCACACTAGTAGCCTGTTCAGACTTATGGAAATCACACTAGTAGCCTGTTCAGACTTATGGAAATCACACTAGTAGCCTGTTCAGACTTATGGAAATCACACTAGTAGCCTGCTCAGACTTATGGAAATCACACTGGTAGCCTGTTCAGACTTATGGAAATCACACTGGTAGCCTGTTCAGACTTATGGAAATCACACTGGTAGCCTGTTCAGACTTATGGAAATCACACTAGTAGCCTGCTCAGACTTATGGAAATCACACTGGTAGCCTGTTCAGACTTATGGAAATCACACTAGTAGCCTGTTCAGACTTATGGAAATCACACTAGTAGCCTGTTTAGACTTATATAAATCACACTGGTAGCCTGTTCAGACTTATGGAAATCACACTGGTAGCCTGTTTAGACTTATGGAAATCACACTAGTAGCCTGTTCAGACTTATGGAAATCACACTAGTAGCCTGTTCAGACTTATGGAAATCACACTAGTAGCCTGTTCAGACTTATGGAAATCACACTAGTAGCCTGCTCAGACTTATGGAAATCACACTGGTAGCCTGTTCAGACTTATGGAAATCACACTGGTAGCCTGTTCAGACTTATGGAAATCACACTGGTAGCCTGTTCAGACTTATGGAAATCACACTAGTAGCCTGCTCAGACTTATGGAAATCACACTGGTAGCCTGTTCAGACTTATAGAAATCACACTGGTAGCCTGTTCAGACTTATGGAAATCACACTATCAAATCTATTTAATTATCGCATAACTATAAGATGAACTCAACGACAACAACAAATGTTATCAACCTTATCAATACTGCTGCTAGATGATCATACTGATGTTTCAGACTTCCTGCAATAAATTGCAATACATTTTGTTGGTTGGTATGGTGAGCTGAACTTGGCTCATTTGAAGAAGAAAATTTCAAAAGCAATTTCATTGCACAGGGATGGGAGGGGGGGGGGCATTTGCTTTATTTGGCAGTTCAGGTAACTTTTATGCAATTGTTATATTTTCACACATCTCATTCATGCAGTGTTGGGAATACATGGTCACTCAAATCTAGTTTTGATGCATTATAAACTCTAGAAAACTCACAAAATTGGACATATATCCTTTAGCCCTTTTTCTGGGCTCAATACCCAAGGACTGGATATGCAAAGGGGCCAAGGAGTGTCCCAGCAAACAAGACCTTGTGTACAAAGCCTTCCTGAGCAAAGTGACGCAAAGTGACGCTGCCTTGCTCGGTTTGAAGAAGGAGGATTCTAGGCTTTCATTTACTCTCTCCACCAAATAGGACAGAAAGTCAAGGTGTCACATTCCTAGTAGCCTAGCTACAAGGATAAATACTTTTTTTTCTCTATCTCGATGACGATGTGTTCAACCAGGGACCATCACAAGTCTTGGACATCCCATAGAAACAAATTATGTAGAAGTGAGACATTGTAGAATCCCAGGCAATGGTATTTGAAGGGGATACACACACTGAGCTGAGGCTTAGGATGATTCTGAGTACTGGCATGTTAGTATGAAAAATATAGACTAAGCCCTTCCTATCACATCACAGCATAGTCACTTTTGGGAGCTCACCTAAGATTGATTACATTTAGGTTTCATTTTATATATTTCAGTTCATTAATAATACATTATTCAGAATTCCTGTGTGTAAGACTAACTTTTGAAAATACATACTGACGCTTCATTCCAGAGGTGAGGAGAAGCAAATATAATTGGGTGGCACCAATAGCATATGGAATCGCTAGAAACATTAATCTTCAATTCATGAGTTGTTTGTACTATGTTAATAATGTTACTGAAAAGGCACTATTCTTTCTCAACCAAACATTTTCAATGATGGTTCTCCGATATTGTTAACCAAATAAATAAACACCACTACTTTTACAATCATATTGAAGTTTGAAATAACAATATTTTACTGTTGCATGAACCATGAATATTACAATACCAACATCGTTTAAAAAAATGATTTGCACTGCTCTCTTGAAAAGAGACTGCAGAATGATCAATTACCAGAGACATGTATCCCTGATAATACCTCTCATTTTCATAGGCAGCCATTGCCTCCTCTCAAATTAATGTTCCCTTGATATAAATTGATGAGTTAGCATTCCAGTTTCAGTCACCCTTCTCTTTGCTTCAGTGATATCAAACCAATGAATATCTGCTTCACTGGGAGGTAATAGGAAATGAACAGTTCCTATCAAAAATATTGGACCAAGGTTGTTTTGGCAGTGAATGACCTATCACATTCATTTGGGTCTTTTAACTACTAACACAAACTACTGAAATAAAAAGAAAGTTGATTTGGAGTTTGTTTTTGTTCTCATTTTGGTTAATTTGATTTGTTCCAGAAGAGGAATAGTTTGGCCACTTTCCAAGAGGAAAGTTTGAAGGGAATGGGCATGAGGTATATAAAGGTCAAAGTGAGATGACATGACTATTTTAAATGATCTGTGATAGTAACAATAAGACAAATCGAGAACTAGATTTGTTGTAGAACAAGAGAAACCAGAAGGGTGTTAACTTGTATTGTTATACACAGAGTTAATGCCCTTCTGGCTCCAAACCTATTACACTATTTGTTACCACAGCTCTTTAGGAGTTAAGTAATTCAGCTATTCGGAGAGAGAAACATGATAGATAGTAGAGAGCAGCAAGGCACACACAAAAAACAATGATTTTTCTTCATCTGACTTTCATGTAGAGAGACATATTAATAATAAAAACTATAATGAAAATAATATTGGTTATTTTTATACTAATCTACTATGCTTACAAAGTAGCCTGAAAATAGTGAAGTCTATGATTGATTGTTTTCTTGATGTGAATAGATTTTCTATTGTTCATATTGAGTATGGTACAGTGTTCCAAATTCTAGAAGCAGTAGGTCCATGGTTTACACTAAAGAACTTTTTAGAAGCATGAGCATGAGGACAACATGGCTTTGCCTGCCTATCAATGTACAATAGACCTTACAAAATGGTACAAGATATATATAAATGTAGATATTCTTGCCATGAACTAATGCCTTTTAGCATTTTCATTCATGAGATATCAAGAACTGGGCAAATCAACCATACCACAAACTTCATCAGTGTCAGAAAAATCCTCAAAAAATCAACACTCAACAAGAATTCTTAAAATAGATATGTCCAAAAGATGGAACTTCAAAGGGAGTGTGTTCTGCCTAGCTCCCCTCATACTTCATAGATGTATTCCGTTCATTCCTTCTACTTACACCCACATGATCTCTACTGCCCATTAAGACCCCAGTAGTGTTGCAAAATTCATTTTGTTCAAAGGTTAATGAGAGGACTGCTGCCACTCTATCTTACACCATTGTAGTGTGACATGAGGCCGAGATGGGGCATAATGTATGCATGTTACCTCATAAACACTTTATACATGTAGTTCACCAGCATGTACTCACTACAGATGCATGAGCAATGGATGTACAATTGAAGAAAAAAAATGCTTTGAATGTTCTGAATATTCTTGGACAACGTCTCCATAATTATATTTTTCAGTCCATACATCATCAAACTGAAAAATAATGATATGTTTTCAGTAATCAAAACAAAACAAGACTGTTAACGCCCCACTGTACTACTTGTAGCTACTTGCTCCCTCTACATAGAAAACAATGCCTAATCGGTGACCATTGGTCCCCTGTGATCCTCTTTTTCTTAGGTTAATTGAGACCCGAGTTGATGAGTTAACCATCTGTCAGTAACCACCCCGGGTGGTCTAATCCTCCTGGTCAAACTAGTACAGAGGGGCTTTAAGATACAAGTATAGGACAAAAAAAATGGTGTTTCTGTACCTATCTGGAAGGCACACGAAAATCGCCGCCGCCGCCACCACCACCAGCACCACCGCCATCACCATCACCACCACTAACGTAGGTCTCTCAAAATCAGCTAATCATCCTGACAATAGGCGCATTTATAATGTCAAATACCTCATTTAAAAAAAATTGCAATGTTTGGCGCTCTCGTTAACATTTTTGCGAAAACATCACCTACTGAAAAGCTCAGTGATGTTTTGGCATGTTTGGTTGGTAATGCGCATGTGCGGTCTTCCCGATGCAAAATGCATCTTTTATCACCTTTTTTATGCTGTGGCTGCTGCAGTCCAGTAGTGAACTAAATTGAGTGACAGTTGCAGCAACTCCACAATATTTTTCACAGTACCCATATCAATTTATGAATAAATCATTGTTCGACTTCATTTCGACCTTACATCAGCATGTTTTACATACTCAATTACAAAGACAAAACCCAACGATGCTCGATCCATACACACCGAGTCCAGCACAAACTGTTCTGCATGTATAACGGTACATGGGACTACAGGTTACTGCACGTACCCCTTTCGATAAGACTACACTTACGCTTCTGTGAGTGTTTCGCCATGGGTTTGTTGATGACATTGCCTTTGATTTTTTTCCAGAAATAACCATGGGACATAAATTTATGTAAAGATATTTGGAGGAGAGTCTTAATATACTTTAATTTATCACGTACAAAAGTATCAATATGGTGTAATGACGGAAAATATGAAAATACTGCAATATTTTGAGATTAAAAAATTGCACTCCGTTTCGCTCAGTTTTCGAATATTAAAACATGGTTGACAACTAATTGCAATATTTATAATTTCAAGCTTCTATCCAAACAAATCGCTTGAGATGCTGCAGACAAATGAATACCTTCAAGACAGACACATCCGTTTATCAGGTCCTCCGCACACAACCAGAGTCTATTATAAAAAGCAAAATTCATGAACGTTGTCTGGCTAGGGCATTATGCTTTAATTGCAAAGAAAGTACCCCCCCCCCCCCTCCTCCTACTCTACATCCTCTCCCCCTCCTCCATTTTATCCATTATTCTACTTGCTTGCAAGTATATCGTGAGCAATAATTTCACTGCAAAAAGATACTCCTCTCTCACCCCCTCCCCCCATCTCACTCACTCCATCCATCATTAGTTGCTTGAAGGTAAATTGTAAGCAATACTTCCAAATCTTCATCTGAAGTAAGTTACCAATGTTGCCATGGCAACCCAAATGACAATTTCCGTCATCTTGGGCTGGATCAGATTACTCAGGGAGATTTCTGGCGATAAAGACTTTGTTTCTCCATTTCTCTTATCTTCCAATACTTATTATTTTCTCCCGCTTTTTTTTCTTTCTTGCTGCATAGCTGTGGGTGTTCATTAGATGATATATTGTTTAAGATCTGTTAGAGAGAAGGTCTGTCAATTCAACTAGAGATTGTACAGAAAAGAGATTCAACTCAAAAAGATATACCGGGTACAGAAAAACACAAAACATTTATCAGCATATTGGCCGGTACTGACTCACACAACAATAACCATTACAACCCATTACCTTTGTATAAGGTAGGTAGGTATTGAGAGCCAGAATGCTGTAACCTCCATACAAAACATATAACATCCTACTGGCTCTCACCAGACAACTACACAATACAGTCATCTAGGATTCCTTCGCAGTGATCCTCTATATTTAAGTGATGAAATACGTCATCACACTATTTGCTTTAAAAAAGCAATATTACCTGCCTAAAATAAGGTGCTATGAATTCACCCTTCTAAAAAAAATTTTCTTTAAAGTAATCACACCATGCCCATTAGTTCTACAGAAAATTCATTAATCTACAAACATTGATTAATATGTGATCAAGTATAGGCTAATTCCACTGTAAGATTGTGATGTTAATAAAATCATATTTGGAACGAGAAAGGAAAAAATAAATGGACTTCTTCTTTTGTATTGGTATTATTTTCAGAAGAATTTACCTTCTCCCAGTTTCTGGGGATTTACAATGTATTCCATGGACAAAATAATTATACATGAGGTAATATAAATCACCTGTAGTAGCCATCATAATTATATTTCATAAATCTGAGATTTAGAATAGATGGAAATCTACAAGAAGGAATGTATGGACAAATAATTTGTTAACTGATGGCCATTATTAGGACCATTTTTTTAAATTTGTGAAAATAATTTCTTGAACAATTTCGGGGGCTGCTTTTCAAGCTTGCTTGCATGAAAATAACACTCTTTAATTTGTTTTGCATTGAACTCTATGCAAAATTTGGGGGCTCTCTAAAGACTTTCGGGGGCTCTTTTGGGCATTTCGGGGCTTATTCGTCCCGAGCCCCTGTGTATTTTCCCCCTGGTTCTAATGATCTGGGAGTGTCTGTGCAATGACAGAAACAGAACATAGTCAGATCATTTCATTATTTTGCGAATGGAGATCAGAAAGGAAAATACAGAAATGAAGAATTTTGACCCCTTTGATCGTGACGGCTCTTGTACAAAGAGTTATGATCATTCGGCGTTCTCAAAAAATGAACAATTACGATCTGAGATAAGAATTACAACAACAAAATCCTCAATGGCTATTTCTCTGTTTTGTAACACAAAGCTCAGCAATTGATCGTACTATTGATTTTGTTCATTGATTGCACATAGTGTGCAATGCAATCAATCAGAAATAACAATCATACGATCAATTGCTAAGCTTTGTTTTACTGGGCCCTTGAGCATTGATTTCGCATCAATAACTCCTTGCAGAACATATCTGCGACTCCTTTGACGGCCCTCAGCTGACAGGGAAGGGTAGCTACAAAGACTATACCTCTAGAGAGAGCTCTTCTTCTTAGTTCTTACCATTGTCGTTGGCCTGCTTGGCCAGTTTACGCAGGGCGGCCGCGAAGCTGGAGGTGCGAGTGGCGGCCAAGGCCTGGTTGGTGCCTGCACCGCCGTTGCCACTGGTCACCGTGACGGTGCTGGCTGATTGGCTGAAGGGGGTTACGGTAGCGGTAGTACGGTTAGCCTTGCTGTTAGCGGAGGATACCACGGTCAAGGGAGGGGGTTTGGTGCTTGGTCCAGGGGGGAGGTGGCCTGGATAGTGGTGGATTAGATAGAGAGGGAGGGGGGAGGGAGGGAGAGAGGGAGGGGGAGGGAGAGAGAGAGAGAGAGAGAGAGATGGAAAAGTGTAGATAAATATGAGAAAGGGGGTGAAAGAGGGAGGGAGGGAGTGGGAGAGAGAGAGAGAGAGAGAGAGAAAGAGAAAGAGAGAGAGAGAGAGAGAGAGAGAGAGAGAGAGAGAGAGAGAGACGCAAAGTATGAGAAAAAGAGAGTGAGAGCAAGTAAAAGAGATTGGGAGAGAAAAAGGAAGGGAGCGTTAATAATTTTTGGTTGATGGAGGTATGCAATGGAATTTGTCATGGTTATGATTTTTTTTGTTCAAAAGCAGGAGCCAGGGAGAAATACAAAAGAAAATTGAATATAATAGAGGTTGAGAGGATCCCAAAGGAGTGACAGATATACAGTGTAAGAAAAAGAAAGAAAAAGAAAGAAGAAAGTATGGGCAGACAATGGCAGAGAACGAGGTAGATAGATACACAGATAGAGAGCGAGAGAGAAAGAGAGAGAAAGAGAGAGATAGAGAGAGAAAAGAGAGAGGAGAAAGAACAGCATAAATCAGAAATAAATGAAGATAAAAGAAAAAAAGTGAAGAAAATATGAAAAGCAGAAAAAGGCGTACGAAGAAAGAACATGATCCAGGTTTAAGGGAAAAGGATTTGGAATTCAAAGAATTTGGGTAAAAGAAAGGAAAAGAATGATTATATAAAAATAAACAAAGAAGATGCTAGTTTTGATGGGAATAGTTAAATATCATGACCATGACTGATTAAGAGCTTGTTAACAATGAGTTAGAATTGTTTACAACTGATGCATTATTTAACTTGAGAGATTTGAGCTCCTTCCTCACTATTATTGCACTTTTTCATCAAAGTAATCTTTTATATAATCAAAATGTGCAGATATGTTATCATGAAAGCTTATATATCACATTCCACAAGCTTTCTTTTACAAAAGAACCAGTCCTTTCTTTATGCTTCTTGACTTCTTTTTGTTTACAACAGTTATCCTCCTGCAATGCAGTAAAAATTATTATAAATAAGATGATGGAAAATGTTATCTTAAGGATGTTCTTGATATTATGAAACCAGGCACAATATTAATGTCCCTGATTAAACCATGCTTGAGGAATTGTCATCAGAAGAGTGGAATTTTTGCAATAATTGCATCATCTATTTCCAACTTTTCATGTTTATAACATTTGTGCTGCATTGTAATAAAGGAAACTTTAAAGACCAATTAAGATTTGCTTTAAAAATATACAGTATCATTATTAACAAATTGTAAAGTAACTTTTCATGATTAATTTTTTCATGATGCTAGTAACATTTTAAGACAATGTAGCAGATGCTAGTAACATTTTAAGACAATGTAGCAGATGCTAGTAACATTTTAAGACAATGTAGCAGACCGACAGATTGTGAAAATTACATCTTACTTCCAGTGTCATAAGTGCAGATAACATTTAGAGTTATATGATCCCACAAAAATATTCTTTACAAAAAATAATTGTTTACTCAAGAGGAGGGCTGGATTCCTTGCAAAAAAAAGTTGAGAATGGATAAAGGTAGAGTAGAGATAGTTAAAGAAATAAAGACAGAACAAATGAGAGAGAGAGGGAGGGACAGTGAGAGAAATGGAGAAGAAAAGAAAGAGACCAAAACACAGACAGAGAGATTGAAGAGAAAAATAAATAATACTTCAGTCACACTGCCAAACTGAATCCAAACCAACTCCAAAAACACCTATTTTTTGCCATTTTTTAAAGGTTAATGTGAGTTTTAATTTGGTATATTTTCAGTCTGGTGTTGGTGACTTGGGTATATGAAAGTGATAGAAGAAAAGGACAATTTTGAAAAGGCACAAGAAACAAGGAATACAATAGAACAGAGGATAGAAAGATCAATAAGAAAGTGGCAAAGAATACTGAGAATTGATAGAAAGGTGGAGAGAGAAGAAGAGCAGAAGAGTGGAATGCCAGACCCTTCCTCCTCAAAAGGAAAAAAAAAGGAGAGAAAATGCTCTCCATTTTGTATGCACAGACATGCTCGATCTCTAACATGCAATTTATGAGCAGTCTTCAATTATGCAAGCTAATGGGAAAGAGAAAGAAGCATGCTAAGACGTGACCAGTCTTTAATTTCCAGTCTGGCTAAATGGTACAAGGGAGGATTTTCGAACGTAGATTTTATTAAAACGTTTAGTAAAAAGAGACTAATGCATGAGGTGGATGGTGAGAAAATAAGGAATGCAAACATGAAATGCACATCAAGGTGCATGCACAAAAGACAAACATGCTCATGCAAGGAGTAAAGTGTGTTTTGAGGAAGGGGGTTTCATCACATTTCTTGTGGCCTTGACAATTCTTTGAGGATGTACTTTAATTGCTTTCATACACAGAGTGCTTTTTTCCTTCTTTAAGTGATAGATATTCAGTAAGCTACATTCAAATAAGTGCTTCATTTCCTTATAGTCATATAGAGGGAAAATCCATAACTCTCTTATCATTTTTATTCATAATTTGCTCAAACTTTCACTGACTTATTCCTCTCAATTCTCTGCTTCTATTAGAACCAACTTAATATCAGGGTGGATTACCCATTTAGACTAAACATTATATATACCCCCCTCCCCCTCTATTTCTCACTCTCATTCCCCCATTTCTCTTTCTTTAATTTACATATATATATATACTATGTTAACATGAGTGTTGGAAGGCTGCCTTCCATTTCCACTCATGTAAAACATAAGTATAGAAATAAGATGTAGAACAAAATGCTGAATTGCATGTTGTATCTTAATTCTCTCTTTTTAAAAAGAAGTGGATATAAAATCAAATTAAAAACAAATAGGAATTTAATATACATGTATTATGACAATGACATAAATAGATGCATTCTTTCTATGAATCCCCATTAGCAGAAAAAGGAATTTACAAAAGATTACTATGAGCCAAAATGGATTATCAAGGGAAATGATGTTGAAAACAGATAGATTACAAGGAACAAAGTGAGGATAAAAGCAGAGGGGAAAAGAGAGAGAGAGAGAAGGGGGGGGGGGGTGGAGGAGAGAAAAGGAGAGGTGAAGAGAGAAACAGAAGGAGATAGAGAGAGAGAGAGGGGTGGACACATGAAGGGAGAGAGGGAGAATGGGAGAATAAAGAAGAAGGAAAAAAGAACAGCAAAAGACAAAGATATAATGTAAAGGAAAGATAAAAAAGAAAAAGAAATTATGTGGATATAGAAGAGAGATAAAAGAGAGAAGAGAGAGAGAAGAGAGAGAGAAGAGAGAGAAGAGAGAGAAGAGAGAGAGAAGAGAGAGAAGAGAAGAGAGAGAGAAGAGAGAGAGAGAGAGAAGAGAGAGAGAGAGAGAGAGAAGAGAGAAGAGAAGAGAGAGAGAGAGAGAAGAGAGAGAAGAGAGAGAAGAGAGAGAGAGAGAGAGAGAGAGAGAGAAGAGAGAAGAGAGAAGAGAGAGAGAGAGAAGAGAGAGAAGAGTCAGAAAGGCCGGGTCAACAATCAAGCAGAAAAGGCCAGCAAAATCCAGGATGCCAGCTAGCTTGGTCTTGAAAGGCGATATGCCCTGACGCGCTCAACCACTCAATTTACCGCCAGCCACCTCAAACCAGCACCCACCACGACACACACACACACGCTTCACAACCCAATACCAATCCATGCAAACCATTAAATAAGGAATGATTAGACGCCACACACAAATCCCTCTCTTTTTCCGTCTTCTTAGCCTTTCGATTAACTATTCATGATAGCACAGCACATCATCCAACACCGATAATTCCAGTTTGGCTGAGCGCTTTTGGCGTGGAAGAAATAAGACCCTGTCCATTACCAGATAAAAGTCAAGATTACTCTATTATCAATCCAATTTTATTACGTAATCCATGTGATGATTTATTTTCTATTCTTATTTCAACATGCCTAATCATCAGGCCTACACAATTATTAATGTGTTTATTTTATTAGTATTAAGTCTGCAAAATTGTTATACTTAATAGTCATCTCCATCAAAAACACAGAAAGTTATATCATTTTCACTCTTTTATCTAATTCTCTGAGCATAAAGTCTATATAATTAACATGATACCATTCCTCATGTTTTTAATCTTCTGACACAATGGCAATGCTGGTTCTGAATTTTGTTTCAACAACAGAAACAAACAAAGAGAAGCTATTTAGTGAAGAAGCATGCAATACATGCATCCATAATTTAAAAGATCAGATTTGCCAGATCATTCCAACTTTTATACCATAGATCAGTCCAAAATGGGAGAATAATGACTTTGTGCAAAGTACAGCTAATGGCTTATTGACTTCTTGTCAAGGGGAAGCAAAGGTGCAAGAACACAAAGTGGTTTTTGAGATGCCTGTAACATGTAACAAGTACACCGCATCTGCTCTAAGCCAGAAAGCTGTTAACTTGTATATTTGAAGTACTTGAGAGAAAAAGCAATAGTAAATGCAATCATCAAAAGTACATTGATCTCTCTCTCTCTCTCTCTCTCTTAATACAATGTATGTCAATTGTCTACATTGTATCTCTATCTCTCCCTCACTCTCTCTCTCTCTTCTTCTCTTTAATTATACGTTAGAGTTTAATAACCTCTCTAAATTCCTGTAAGCTGTTCCTTCAATGGCTTGGTGATCAAAGAGATAGTAGCAGTGAATTATGCAGGTAGTGTGTAAACCTGAATTATATTTATGATTTCAATCATATCAATTACATGTTAAGCCTATTACATGTATATTACTTCAACAATGTCAGAGCAAGTAATATGATCTGTGTAGCATGAATTCCCTTAAATACAGAGCACTTGGCAAGACATTGATCTACATTTGCCACACTCCACCCAGGTGAAGTAAATGGGTACCTGGTAGGAATTTATTCCTTGAAACGCAGCGCGCGTAACAGCTGCACTGCTAAAGCCAGGGTAATTATGCTGCATTATTGTAGAGCGCTTAGAGACTTCTGA